CCCGACGGGCCGGCCGGCTGTCGGTGATGTCGTTTTGGTAGCTGGCTGCGCTGGGGACGCGGGGGGACCAGGCTGCTTAGGGGCAGGGAAGCTAGGGCACGAGAGGGGCAGGAAAAGGCGCGCGCTCACGGCGGGACAACGGATGCCTGTCGGTGTTGCAGCTGACGGTAAAACTTTTTTTTTTTTTTTTGGGTCCTCCCGGAACAGCCATAATGGTGCGCATGAACGTCCTGGCCGATGCTCTCAAGAGCATCAACAATGCCGAGAAGAGAGGCAAACGCCAGGTTCTTATCCGGCCGTGCTCCAAGGTCATCGTCCGGTTTCTCACTGTGATGATGAAGCACGGTAAGTGCGGTGGCTGGGTGTTCTGTTTTGGTGTAAAAACGCTTAAGGAATTGGTCCGGTAGAAATGGTGGGTGGGCAAAGGTGTGAGGACACCTGGGAACGGATGCCGGTTGGCTTGGGCCGTGGGCGGGATAGTCGGGTCGCGGGACGCCCTTCGGGAGACACCGAGTAGGTTAGGACTGTCGGGAGGACGACTGAAGTTGGTGACTGTTCTGCTGGGTGTTTGGGAGTGAAAATGGCCTTGGTTGGTGTAATGCTGCTGCTGCTGCAGCGCGTCGTTGAAAGGCTCCTGAGCTCTTCTAAGCTCTGCATGGAAAGGGGGACGGTTATGTGTCTTGGGCCTTTGGGAATGGGGTGCTATGAAGGGGCAAAGGGAAAGTGCATAACCCCCATTTGTAGAGTTGCATGGTGGGCGTTGAGCGTGTTGCTCCCTAAATGTTAAGTACTGTTTAGGCTATAAAAGTTCTGATACAGAGCAACTGTCCTCAAAAACTGCTTACAGAAAGTCACTGAGATGATGAGGCAAGCAGGAGGAACACCAGAGGAGCGTAAGTACGTACTCAGGTCTGTCAAATTGGTATCTGCCATTTAACAGTCGGTTTTGTCCTGTAGGTTACATTGGCGAATTTGAAATCATTGATGATCACAGAGCTGGGAAAATTGTTGTGAACCTCACGGGCAGGTTAAACAAGGTAAGAAGTGATTATTTTCCACATTTGAGAAATACCTAACGTGGAATTAATGTGTTGTAATTAATTGCCCTTGTAAAACCAAATAGTGGTGAGGTGCTTACTTCATTAGGTGACAAAATATTAGGAATTGATTAAGCCATTAATTTTCATATCCCATTTTATTTGTTCTCCAGGGTTGTATTTGCTCTAGAAGTGTTGGTTGCACTAGTGTTTGTGGTGTAGGAGCTGTCTGAAGGAGGGCCGGGGTGAAACTAAGAGCTGGTGTTTGAATCTTGGGGTACACTGCCCGTCTCCCTGGCTGGAACTTGAGTGGCCAAGGCCACCAAGTGCTCTCAGGGTAAATAGCTTGTCCTTCCTCTCCGTGGTGGTTGTGTTGGGTTTTTTAACAATGTTGACACTCCTGGTTTTGCTGATGTCGGCTGTACGTGTCTGAAGTCTGCTCCCTTTCTGTTTGACTTGCCGGCGTAACCTAGTGGATCTATTTTATCCGTTTGGCTTTGTGGTTTAATTGATTGCAGGTATTTTGGGGCAGGTGTCTGTAAGCTAGTTAGGGTCCCTGCGCTGCTACCCTCCTTTCTGTGTTCAGGCTTGTAGCCTTTCAGATTTGCAAGGAGCTTGAGATCCTGTAGTCCAACCCGGGGGTGTGTGTGGTGGGTAAACAGGCCCAGGTGAGGCGTGGTCAGTGGCAGGGCGAGACTGATGGGTAAGGTTATTTCCTGGTCCAGCAATTTCTGTTTCACAAAGTTGCTTCCCTATAGAATGAACTTTCTTCGTGGGTGGATAGATAATACTAGGTGAAAACTGGATGGGAAGGCGTTAGGAGAGATTGAGGGCTTTTCAGGGATAACTGAGTGTCTTGTTTCGTTCTAGTTGTAACCATTAGAACCCAACCCCAAAGAAGGCTTTGGAGTCTCTTTCTCTCACGGATCCTCAGTGTCCTTGAAGAGGAGAGGATGTGTGCCAGTGTTTTTCTGTTATTAGGAGTTAGGAAGCAGAGCTCTGGGTCCTGCTCGAGGTCTCAGCTGGTTGGTGACCAGTGGGAGACAGTCTGCAGCTCGTCTTAGAACTGTCCTGCAGAGGACTGAGTTTACGTAAAAGTTTTCTGGAAAAACCTAGGTGCAGTGCTGTGTGTGAGCTCTGAGTGTTCACTGTCCGGAACGGCTGAGAACTAAGTAGGAGCAGCATTCCCCGAAGGGGACTCGCTGGTGGCGTTCTTGTTCTGTGGTGTTTGAGTGAAACATTCTGGCTACAGAGGTCGTTGAAATCCAGTCCCTCCCTTACCTGCCTGACTTGGGGCAAAACAAGCTAATGCTTTCAGTTTCTCCAACTTCAGTTTTCCTCATTTTTGCCTCGATTTCCTTCCTGCAGAGATGGTTGTACCCTTAGGGTGGAAATGTAGTGGGGCTGGGAGGTAGGCAGCGTTTACAATCTGTAGGTGAAACGAAGATTCTGGTCTTGGTCGCATCCTCTTCAGATTGCTGTCGTCTGGGAAGGGTGTGCGGGTTGAATTCTGCTGGAATGAAGCGCTTGGTGCTGTGGAGTGGAGGCCGCAGAGGGTCTTTGGCTGTCGGTTGCTTGGAGAAAGAACTGATTTTTCTAGTCTTAATTCCTGTATTTTTTCCACCGAGTGTGGGATTGATTGCCTTGGCTGCCTAGTGACATCACAGCTGATAGGATGGGTAAGGTCCTAAAAAGAGGACCTGAGCGAGCGAGCGGGCTTCTTAGCACCGGGCAGTTGGGCCTGACAGGTCCGTTTTCCGTTTCTGTGGGTTCAGAGCTCTGCCTCTAAGGAAGCGTCACTGCTCCAAAGAGGAGTGAGTGAGCTGTCAGCTCATAGTCGCCTTGAGTTGACTGGAGCGTCTCGGAATGTTGTAAACGACTGTTTTGTGGATGGATGTGCACACTGCCGTCGGCCTGCTCTCTTAGCCCTCTGGGGTGGTCTACACCTCGGTGGTGCTAATCCTGAGTGTTCTCACGTGACTATTTCTTGTGTGTCAATAGCGGGAGCCTGTGTGTGTTGATATTTGTATGTGTACTAGTGGTTTGTGGAGCAGCGTTGAGTAGGGGGGGTCATATTTAGCTTTAGTTCACTGAAGAGGCTTTTGGTCCCCTCAGCTTCCATTTTCTAAACCCAGCTGACGGAGTCAGACCTGGTCTGAGCCCATGGTAACTCACATAGCCCATTAGTGGGTGTTTGCACAGCTATTGTGTTTTAGGGTTGGTCCCTGATGGGTGACTGGGGTATATGCTTTGGTGCGTGGAGAGTGCTCACTTTGCAGGGCTGTTGCCACTGTGTTTCGGTAGCAGACAGGTGGGATTGCGTCAAGAACTCTGCTCTTTCTGCTGCCCATCCGTTTTGCCAGGTGAGTTTTTGGGGAAATTGCCTGGATTGTAGGGTAGCATGCCCCGGAAGTGTTTCGTGACCTTCATTAGGTTAGTGCCTGCGGAGCTTGTTCCTTAGAAATGCTAGTGGTTTGCCTTTTTAGTGTAATCAGAGAAGGATTTGAGACCCTACGCATTCATTTCAGCTTTGCTATGGAAAAAAGTTTGACTACAATCTTATTTGTCTAAGACTGTTTTGGGACAGCTCTCCAGCTCACAGGGCTGCACGTGGGGACCTGACACTGTCATGTATTGCTTTGTGTTCTGCCTCTTATTTGAACGGGACCGGCCCGCTCAACCGAACGCCCCTGGCTCGTCAGCCAGCAGCTCACGGAATGGGTCCCTGAGAGGATTGGGTGGGAGACGAGAAATAAAGAGAAGAGAGACAAAGCGCGGGGACAGGAGGGACTCAGTCTGCTGGTGGCAAAACTGAGACCTCGTTTATTGGGCATACAAGATTCTTAAGGGGAAGCAATTTCCTTATTCTGGGGAATGATTCCCTGAAGCTAAAACTCATGGGCTGAGGAGAAACAATTTCTCCTCAGCAACAAGCTATGTTACACACAATATAAACCAATGATATAGCAAG